AAAATATAAGAAAGTATTATTAGTTTTATTTCCATTATTTAAGTCTTATAGTAAAAGTATTATATATATTTTTTTAAAGTTTTGCTATGGTAGTTATATCATGGTAGATGTTGAATGGTAGGTATACATTGTGGTAGGAATAATATGGTAGGTTTATCATGGTAGTAATGGTATGGTAGATATATAATGGTAGGAGTATTATGGTATTTTATGGCAGTAATATTTTGGTAGAAATTATATGGGAAATTATATAAGAATATTATAATTCTTGGGTTTAATGAGTTTTATTATTATTATTATTATTATTATTATAAGCCCTCAGTCCACAGGTGTACGGCAGCCTCATTATTACAGGTGTTGGTGAGGGTACAGCTAGTAGTAGTTACAGGTACAGAGTTTATGCTGTATTTGTTGGTTACGGTGAGAATGTGGTGGTGGTGGTATAGTGTAGTAGTGGTGGTAGTGGTGGTGGTGGTGGCAGGGTACAATACAGTGGTGGTAGTGGTGGTGCAGTGATGTGATGGTGGTAGAGGTACAGTATAGTGGTGGTAAAGGTACAGTATAGTGGTGGTAGTGGTGCAGTGTGGTGGTAGTGGTGGTGGCAGACACTATAACTCAGCGCTGGAAGAATAACACACACTGGATGGCATTTTAGCGATGACTGCGGCGCTTTTTAGTATTCAGCGGCGTGGTTGACGCTAGCGGCGGCGGCGGCATTTTTGTAGTCGGCGGCACTAGATGGCGGAGACTATTTGGGCGGCAGAAGAAGGAGTTCCCAACGGTGGTGGGATAAGACGGCGGCTGCGGCAGTACGGGGAGGGGGGGGGTACTGAGTAACAGCGGTAACTTTAGAGGCTTGCGGCAGGTTAGGCAGCTGCGGCAGGGGTAGTGGCGGCGGGAGATCTGTGGCAGGGCGGCGGCGGCGGCGGCTGTAAGGTGTGGAGGCTGGCTGGGGCGGCGGAGAGACGCGGTGAGTGTTTACAACGGACAGCGAGGCATTGATCAAGTGTGTGTAGCTGGGCGGGCGGGCGGAGCACCGCTGTAGTAAGTAATGACGTGTTCCACAACCATTCTTCGTGCGGCGAATGCAATAATTGCCTCGAAAAATTATGTAGATTGCCAAGACGCTCATGTGATCAATTGTTGGCTAGATATAGGCTTGGAGGCCCGTTCTCGCGTAAATAACTGAAGCCCCGCCCACTTGCAAGCAACCTGTCAAGATAAGAGGGCTCTGATTGGTCGCCCGCTTACCCAGGTGACCAACCAGGTGTCCGCGCGCCGGCACCACAGCTTTAAAGGCCCCACCTGATTGGATCGCTCCTCTCAGGTAGACATGACAACCACTTTTAATTTATGAGAGGCACATCGGAACGTGAGTGGTGGTAGATTCGATCGTAAATATTCATAAATATATCAATAGTGACACTCCATATAACGTCTGGTGGTAGAGAGAGTGACAGAGGTGAAGTTCTCATGTCACACGACGGTGGAGAGGCTGCAGTAGTGGCCACCGCTCACTGTGTTAAGGTCGACACACTGTAGGAGGGAGGAGGAGTCACACACACACACACACACACACACACGCGCGCGCACACACACACACACACACATATACATACATACATACATACATACCTGTGTGTAAATATTCTCACCTGATGGCATAAGTCACCGTCTTCTCCAAGCAGGTGTCGTGGTGACTATACTGAGACACACACACACGTACACACACACACACACACACATACACACACATACACACACATGCTCTCTCTCTCTCTCTCTCTCTCTCTCTCTCTCTCTCTCTCTCTCTCTCTCTCTCTCTCTCTCTCTCTCTCTCTCTCTAGATTAGTCAAAATAAATGTGTTTGTTTGTTAGTTTTACAAGACAATCAGAACATCAAAACATGACAACTTAAGACAATCAGATCAAAACACAACCGTACAGGACAATCAGACTATCATAATACAAGTGTCATTCTTTTACAAAATTAATAATCTGATAACCTATTTACAAGATTTACAAGACACACGAATCATTTTTTTACAAGAATAATTTAACAAAACCCGAATCACATCATCTGCTTTTGTTAACGATGATAAATTAAAAAGAACATAATGTTTACTTTAGGTCTCAGAGTACAGTAAATGTCTCGTTAATCACCACAACCGTGTGATCTAACCTTGACCAGTTGACCTCACGAGTGTCTGCAGAGGTCAACAGGTGTCTGCAGAGGTCAACAGGTGTCTGCAGAGGTCAACAGGTGTCTGCAGAAGTCAACATCTGTCTGCAGAAGTCAACACCTGTCTGCAGAAGCGTACAATAACATACCACACAACATACCACACAACATACCACACAATATAACACACAACATACCACACAACATACCACACAACATACCACTCAACATACCACACAACATACCACACAACATACCATACAGCATCCCCACAACAACATACCACACAACATACCACACAACATACCACACAACATACCACACAACATACAACATAACATCCCCACAACAACATACCACACAACATACCACACAACATACCACACAGCATACCACACAACATCCCCACAACAACATACCACAACAACATACCACACAACATACCACACAACATACCACACAACATACCACATAACATACCACATAACACTGTTTCTCCATTGCCTAATAATTTAACTTGTGGTCAACTTTATTACATCATAAAATACAAGTATACACGAGCGAGTTCCTCTCTCTCTCTCTCTCTCTCTCTCTCTCTCTCTCTCTCTCTCTCTCTCTCTCTCTCTCTCTCCATCTACTTACCTGTCCTCTCTCTGTATTAAAATAGAGAAAAAATACTTGAAATTAATTAAAATACACCTTAATTACCTCACCTGACTATTAGTTTACCTGTAAATAGTAACACCTGATGTTAATTATCTCTCTAACTTGTTAATTAACTAACTAATGAATCATTAACCAACTAACACCTCCTGAAACACCTTTATAACTAAATTTCAATGTTTTTTATTAATTAATTATGAATGTAAATATCTCATTATTCTAACATAGGTGTAAAATTAAAGGCTATTTAATTACCAACAGTTTATTATATAATATTTAGTTAACAGTTATCTAACAAACTAATAAAAAAAATCATAAAGTTTAAATTAATAATGAACGCACCTAATTACATACTGTTATTATTATTATTATTATTATTATTATTATTATTATTATTATTATTATTATTATTATTATTATTATTATTATTACAACATTTCAATTAATTTTAAACGCACAGTCACGATTACATGACCTAGGAATGCAAAAATGGATTCTTACGTTGCATAAATAGATCGCGGTAAGAAAATTAATATCGTATTTCCCCCTCCTCCGACACTACTACCACCAGCCCCTCCCTCAGTCCTCTCCCCTTCCCCCCCCAGCCCCCAACACCACCAAAGGCGCCATCTATTAGCCCTCCCTCCCTCCCTCCTCCCTGCTCGCACTAATAAATAATTCCCCGGGGTTGTTCAATAGACAGCAGCTTCGGGACTGAACGTAGAGTAGAAATAATAAACTTGGGGGAGGAGGGAAATACGCGCGCTGCTTTTGTTTTTGTTTTTTCGATTAGATTTTGTTTTTTTGTGTTATTTATTCTCGTCTGTGGAGTGGATGGTGATGATAATAATAATAATAATAATAATTAATAATAATAATAATAAGAATAAGAATAATAGAGTTTTTAGTCGTAGTATTAGTAAGTAAGAAAATATCGTGTTCTGGGTCAAAGGTCAAACAGCCCTAAAACGACCTGAATATTGAGACGTTGTTTGGTTAAATGTACACCAATTATGATCAAAGTTAGGTCATATATATGTTCTAGGAGGTCACACATAATGAACCTAAAAGATAAGATTTTGTTTTAGGTAATATTTTTACGGGGTCATATATCAGAGAAAGACCTTAAGTTGTTTGTTTTCTTGTTTATACCCGAAGATTAATGAGTATATTGGTAAGAAGCTTTAGTAATGATATAAATAGTTTTGTTTATATACTTCTGGCGTTATAATGATCCTTAGATGGTCCGGGATACTCAGAGGTCCACTGGTGTAGGTCACCACCACTGGTGTAGGTCACCACCACTGGTGTAGGTCACCGCCACTGGTGTAGGTCACCACCACTGGTGTAGGTCACCACCACTGGTGTAGGTCACCACCACTGGTGTAGGTCACCGCCACTGGTGTAGGTCACCACCACTGGTGTAGGTCACCGCCACTGGTGTAGGTCACCACCACTGGTGTAGGTCACCACCACTGGTGTAGGTCACCACCACTAGTGTAGGTCACCACCACTGGTGTAGGTCACCACCACTGGTGTAGGTCACCACCACTGGTGTAGGTCACCGCCACTGGTGTAGGTCACCACCACTGGTGTAGGTCACCACCACTGGTGTGAGTGCTGGTCACCTTCACGCTTCGTACTGCCAAAATGCCTAATTTAAGCCAAGGGTCCTAAAACTAATTTTTGGAAGGGCAGCTACTCTATAATTAAGCGATGCCAGCTACACCCGACAACATGATAATGAGAGGAACAGCAGAAGTGTACGTACATGGCCCACTCGAGGGGGTGTTTCTCTCTCTCTCTCTCTCTCTCTCTCTCTCTCTCTCTCTCTCTCTCTCATCATTCAGTATATCCCATCCCCCAAAACAACCCAATAATTTACAACATGTCACCAGTAAGTGATAATGCGTCTCGGGTTTAGTTTAGTCATAGGTGGACTGACTACAACAGAAAACGGAGAGGTTACGGGAGCATAAATCCCCCCTAAGACAAGAAAGGTTGAGAGCAAGCCTTCGTGGGTCATATATTTGGCTGTTCTTTAATATATAATTATGACTACAATTGGTGGGTTGAACGTAGGCCTTCCTCCTCTCATCTTCCTCCTCTCTTCTCTTCTACACGATTCATGTGACCAGTAGGAGACTCTGGGCCACCATCAGGAGCTCTGGTTGTGTTTCACCGACGTCGCCTTCTTCAGTTGCTCCTCTGCTTCGTCAGGTACTGGAGTTGTTGGATGTGTTTAGTGTTTATCTGTCTTCGTCAGGAGGTAGTGAACTGTGACCGGTGTTTATCTACTTCGTCGGGAGTTCTGGAAGTTGCTCATCCACCGTCAGGAATAAGAACCTTCAGCAGTGCTTCATCAGGAACTTGAGTGCTTCAGTAGTGCTTCGCGCCTCCTGCAGCTCTTCCATCTCCCCATCAGGTATACAAGAAGGGTTGTGGTCAAGCTTCAGTACATCCAGTTAAGCTTCACATACACAGACTGACTCTACAGACGCCTCAACTACGGCTCTACGGCTCCAGGTGTCTCTTTACTTCAGTAGGAATCAGTGAAAGCTTTGAACAGTACTTCTTCGGTGATGATATTTTCTTGTACCGTCTGTAAGAAATGTTCCCTGGCTTCCTTGTTCATGGTCAATACTATGTGCTACTTTGAACAAGGAGCACGTTCAAAAAGATGTTTAAGTTCCGTGTTCTAGATAATGGTCTATGCTACTTTCAACAAGAAACACGTACAAAACTGTTCCTTGAGTTCCTTGGTCTGGTCAATACAACTGTGCTACTTTGAGTTATTAATACATGTTTTATTGTGTTACTTGTATGTGTTTCAAGCTTGTGTTTAATAGTTACTGGATATTTAAGTCAGGTCAGGCCAGGTTGTACTCGATTAAATTAGATTAGTTTAGGTTAGGATAGGTTAGGTTAGGTTAGGTTAGGAGAGATAAAATGGTCTAGCTTTGGATTTGGTTAGATTAAGTTAGGTTAACTTAGGTTATGTTATTTACACCAATATTCATCGCATCTTTCTCCCTTTCTTGTTTACTGCATCAAAGACACAACAAACATATTAACTTTTTTCATAACAATCAATAAAAAATAAATAATGAAAACAAATTAGTCTAAATTTATTTCTTATTTATCATTCATTTAGGAGGTTTAGGAGTGGTTAGGGGGGGGGTTAAGGGGGGTTAGGGAGGGGTTAAGGGGGGTTAGGGAGGGGTTATAATTAGTTTGAAGAACCTCAGACTAATCAAGGAACTCTAATATTTCTAATTAATTTGGGGTCGTATTCTCTCCCTTGGCTTGGAGTTGAGTGCATTGCTAATCAATACACAGGGGAAGACACGCACCTCCCCTACGACCTAAACCGCTCTTGTTGCAGTCTTGTTGCAGCTGTTACTCCCTTCTTGCACACCCTTGCCTCACCCCCTCCTCACCCCCCCTCCTCACCCCTCACCCCTTCTCTAAACTCTCCCCCTCTTCCCCCTTTCCTGTCTCTGTTGATGTGATGTTACCGTTAGTGTGTTACTGTTGTTGAAACTTTGTTGAATTTGTTACTCCTACAACTGTTATCTTTTGCTGTCGTGATGTTCTGTTCGTGTGTTACTGTTGTTGGATCTCTGTTGTAGCTGTTATTCCGTTGTTATCTCTACTGTTGGTGTATATAACCCCTGTTGTGGTACTTATATATCCCTGTTGTAACTGTTTTTCATCTGTTACCGAATCACTCTTGTTTTAACTCTGTTGTTACGTCCCCGTTGAACCTCTGTTGCTGCTGTGATTCCGTTGTTAATTCTGTTTACGTGTTGGATTCCTGTTGCTACAATCTTTACCGTTTATTTAATACACTCCTGATGCGCTAGAGAGAGAGAGAGAGAGAGAATATATAAAAGGAAAAATAGAGAGACAGACAGAACGACAGACAGACACAGACAGGCAGACAGACAGACAGACAGGCAGACAGACAGAATGGGAGAATAGGTGAGTCATTCTCCCTCCCCACCCTTCACCTCCATCCCTTACCCCCCTCAGCACCCCCCTTCTCTCTACAGTGGTCAATCATTTCTTGGAGTGTCAGCCAGTCCTTGGAGTGTCAGCTAGTCCTTGGAGTGTCAGCTACTGCTTGGGGTGTTAGCTACTTGGAGTGTTAGCTAGGGAGTGTCAGCTGGTCCTTGGGTCAGCTAGGGTCCCAGCCAGTTCTTGGCGTGTCAGCTAGACCTAAAGGTTCTACTCTCTCTCTCTCTCTCTCTCTCTCTCTCTCTCTCTCTCTCTCTCTCTCTCTCTCTCTCTCTCTTCATTCATCATATTTACTTCTTCCATCTCTTTCTTATCGCCATCGTCCTTCTCTTCCTTCGTCTCTTCTTCCCCCATTTCCAATTCCATTTTTTTGTCATTACACTTTCCTTTTTCATTCGTTCTCTTATCCCTCCTATGTTCCTTCTTTCTCTCCTCTTATATCATCTCCTTCTTCTTCTTCTTCTTCTTCCTTCTTTCTTTCGTTTGTTTCTCCCACTTTCTTCTCTTCTCTCCTTCCTTGTCCTTATTTTCCCTTCTGTTGTTGTTTTTTTAATCCTTCCCTCTTCTTATCTCCGTCTTCCCTTACCTATTCCTCCCCTCCTCCTCCCTCCCCCTCCCCTCCCCTCCCTCCCTCCCATCTCCCCTTCCCTCACTTCTCCCCTCACTATATTTCACTGAGTCGTGTGATTACATACATACATACATATACATACATACATACATACATACATACATACATACATTCATACATACATACATACATACATACATACATAACTAGGTGTGTATCTTAAAGTTAATCCACATTTGACTAAATTATTTATCCGAAAATTATTGTAATAAATAATTTGTATAATTTTGAACACATCCAATTAATTATTTCATCTGACTTACAGCTTTATGTAATTATTAAATGGGATTAATTATTTCTTTGAGGTTTTAAAAGTTGTTTTGTGTTGAAATTAAAACTTGTTGAGGGGAGCTTAATGACCCTGGTAGTTGACGTATCTGAAATTGAGGCCTAACAACAATAATAACAACAATAACAACAATGATAATAATTACAAGAACATAAACAAAATTAACAACAACAGTAACAACAGTAACAACAGCGACAAACACAACAACAAGAACAGCATCAACATTACAATTACAACAACAACAAAAATAACAGCGATAACAAAAAACGACGATACCAACAACTACAACAACAACCACAACAACAACAACAACAACATCACCACAACTTCTAACAACAACAGCAACATCAACAACAACCACAACAACAACAGCAACATCAACAACAACCACAACAACAACATCACCACAACTTCTAACAACAACAACAACAACAACAACATCAACAACCACAACAACTACAACAACAACTACAACAACTACAACATCAACAACAACAACCACAACAACAACAACAACAACAACAACAACAACAAAATTTAATCTATAACTCCCCAAAAATTCTTCTTTTATTCACGTAACAATTTATTAGTTGTCAAAATTGGAAGCATCACATTCCTGAATTAAATTATCTGAATTTTTTTACGTTTCAAAAATTACTCACAAATTGGAGTATTGTTATATATAATTAGATGTATTTTTCCTATATTATCTTAATTATTTTCACCATAAGTATAGTGAGATTACACTAATAACTTGAAGCATAAATATATCAGAATAAGATATATATCAACAATATTTTTCCCGTAACCAACTATAATAATAATGATTATAAAATGTATCTAGAAAAATACTTTATTTATTGTATATGTTTAAGAATATATTTAGTCTTATTTTGAGGGCCGGAGAAACACTGTATTGTATAAAAATAAAAATACGCGGATATTATATTTGTCAAATTATCAATAAAATAAATCATTTCAGATTATAATTATATAATAGAGTTGTTATAGGTAATACGAGAATAATCAAATTAATATATACAAAAATAAATTATTTTTGAAAAAAAATTAATTGCAGTATTAAAATCAACAGAAAAGGGGCAATAAAATTATAAATAAAATAGTATATGTATTTTAAAAATTTTAAATACATTATTATTATTATTATTATTATTATTATTATTATTATTATTATTATTATTATTATTATTATTATTATTATTATTATTATTATTATTATTATTATTATTATTATTATTATTAATACTACTACTAACTACTACTACTACTACTACTACTACTACTACTACTACTACTACTACTATTATTATTATTATTATTATTACTACTACAACTACTACTACTATTATTATTATTATTATTATTATTATTACCACAGTATGGCGGGAAGCAGAGGTCGGCCAGCGCTACCTACCCATCTCCCCGCCGACGCTGGTACCACACTCCCCGACGCCACCACCCGACGCCGCCCGAATCTGTTCCCGGGTATCTAGGACTCTCAACGGGTATCCCTAGGCGTAGTAAGAACTCTCCTGAAGGATGTGAAGAGGGAGGTGAGAGTGAGAGAGAGTTAGAGAGAGTAGTAGAGGAGGAGGAAGAAATGGTGGAAGTTAAAAGGTTTGCTTGGAACGGCGGGGCTGGAGGATAGAAGCTATGTACTGTATATACTTATCCTATATAAACATACATACAAAATACACGGATAGTCACACGAACATATATACGTACATAGAGAGATAAACAAGGAAATTATTCAATATAGCTTTCATCTGCTGTAATGAGTCATCCAAAATTTTGTCACCGATTTAAAATTTTTGGAATTCATCTAAATGTCCTGTTATTTTTCGATTTAATTTTTATTTTTATTATTGTTTTTATTTAATGACGGTAATGTGTATTTGTCGTAGTATTTTAAAGTTAATTGTAATTTAAATGATGTTAATGAGAATGTTAAAATTTGAGTAATAATAATGATAATAATAAATTGTGTATATATATTTTGACAATAGAAATAATGATGATAATAATAATGGTACTGGTAATAGTTATATAATATTAATAGTAATGGTTAATAATAATAATAATAATAATAATAATAATAATAATAATAATAATAATAATAATAATAGTAAAAGTAATAATAATCGTAATAATAACAATAATAACCACATTAATGATAATAACAACAACAATAACAACAATAATAACAATAACACATAATATTCTTAACTACTAATGAAACACTCAAATACCTTATAGCCAGACCGTGTTTTAATACGGGTTAACATGATTGGTTGTCGCTCGCTCGTGTTTACCTTCGTTTGACCAATCACATCACTCCAAACATGTTATTGACGTGCTGTTTATTTCTGACTAAAAAAAATTTCATTGTTTTCGTTGTTTTTTGTTTATATATAATTTATAATTTATATATACGAGTGTAATTATATATATATATTAACTGTATATATATATGATTATGAAGGCAGTCATCCAGTCAGTTAGTTATCCAGTCAGTCAGTCATCCAGTAGGTAAGTTATCCAGTCAGTCAGTCATCCAGTCAGCTTTCAACCAGTCATCCAGTTAGTCGCTGAGTCATTTAACCAACCAGACTGTAGAGGAGGGAGAGACAGGTAACAGCTGAGTGGGAGACAGGTAACAGACTGTCATTTTGCTGTCAGTGTGAGGGTAGTGACTGTGGTTAGTGGCTCTCTGTCACATGACGGCTGCTGTCCACCTCCCCCCTCTGTCTCTCCCCCTCTTCCCTCTCCCCTTCCCCCCTCTCTTTCCCCCTCTTCCCTCTCCCCCTTCCTCTCCCCCTCTCCCTCCCTCTCCCTCCGTCCATTCCCCCTATCTCCTGTCCTACTGTCACTGTCTCCTGTCTACTGTCACTGTCCTGTAGGGGGAGTGATTACAGTGTAGAAAGTGACAGTAAAGTGCGAGGACAATAAGTATACATCCACACACACTTATAAATATCCACACACACTTACAAACATCCACACACACTTATAAACATCCACACACACTTATAAACATCCACACACACTTATAAACATCCACACACACTTATAAACATCCACACACACTTATAAACATCCACACACACTTATAAACATCCACACACACTTATAAACATCCACACACACACTTATTAACATCTCCAACTTACACAATCAATAAAATAAACAAAGCAATCGTTTCTTAGGTTGATTTCCCCGCCAGGATTCGAGTTATATGGTGAGTGAGGTGCAGGATATCAATGAGAGTGAGTGCAGGGGTTATAGTAGGTGAGGTGCGGGGTTATGGTAGGTGAGGTGCGGGGTGGGGCCAGGTACTGGAAGCATACTGATCAGTAGCACTCTTGGTCAGCGTCACTAACTGATGGAAACTTGAATCCCTTGAGTCTTGTTTTGTTACAGCTCATCTTAAACTCCCTCCCTCCATCCCTCTCTCCCTCCCTCTCTCTCTCCTCCCTCCTCTCTCCCTACCTCCACTCTCTCTCCCTCCCCTACCTACCTACCTACCTCCCTCTCTCTCTCTCTCTCTCTTTCTCTTTCTCTCTCTCTCTCTCTCTCTCTCTCTCTCCCCTCCCTACCTACCTACCTACCTCCTCTCTCTCTCTCTCTCTCTTTCTCTTTCTCTCTCTCTCTCTCCCTCCCTCTCTCCCTCCCCTCTCTCTCTCTCTCCCTCCCTCCTCTCCTCCTCTCTCTCTCCTCCCCTACCTACCTACCTACCTCCTCTCTCTCTCTCTCTCTCTCTTTCTCTTTCTCTCTCTCTCTCTCTGTCAGAATATCTCTGCGTAATTCCCTCTGACAGACGCTCATCCTCCCTATCGCTGTCAGATTAACAACACTATTATTAGCGCCTTTGCATGAACGCCAGCGCTGACGAACGTATACCACACTGTCGCTTGTCATCACTCGTTGTTATGATCGGTTGTGGTGAGGTTATGAAGGCTTCGTTGGTGGCGTGGCTGGCAACACTCTCACACACACACACACACACACTCACACACACACACACACACACACACACACACTCACACAGACACACACACACACACACACACACACACACACACACACACACACACACACACACACACACACACACACACACACTCAGACACACACACACACACACACACACACATAGACACACACACACACACACACACACACATAGACACACACACACACAGTAGTAAATATAAGGCAGCTCAGCACACGTATATCAACTCAGGTATCTCACAGGTAATTTATTCAACAGAACTCACCTGAATAATAAGTTTGTTTACATAGTCAGGTGAAGGACGCCAGGAGGCAGGTGAGACCGGAAGCCATAACTCACAACCCACCACAAATGTTAGTCCAGACGCCATGTAACTTTAATATACACACTCTGATTTCTTTCACTAGTCTGGGCATGAGGGAGCATATCTAGTTTAGTCTCTGTGTTAAGTTAATTCTTGATTTTATAGTTGTTATCTCTATCTCTCTCTCATAGACACAGAGATAGATAGACACATAGACACACACATATAGACACACATACATACATACATACATACATACATGTAAATAGACAGACATACGTACATACTTCTCACTTCTCATATTTCCAGGTTGAGTAGGTAGGAACTTATATGGACCTCTGAAGACCCTGAACGTGAGGGGGTGAGGGGGGAAGGGAGGGGATGAAGGAAGGAGGGAGAGAGGGAGGGAGGGAAGGGGGAACTTAAACCCGGGTTGTGTAAGGGCAGGTGGTCTACTAATACCTCTCAACACTGATTAAATTAGGGTTAAAACGAGGAAAAGTTTTAATAGTTTGCAAACCTTAAATGTCAGGTTACTGGGATTGTCGTAAGCATTGATTTTTTATTTTATTCAGGAAATCGTGTTTACTTTAATAAATATACAGTACACCTTAGCGTAACTGATGGATGATTCTCGCAGTGAGGGATTTGTTTTGTTTCTTTCGTATAGGTTAAAACAGTCAGCCAGTAATAATTAGTTCTTTGTTTTATCATTGCGTTTTCTAATCAAGAGTTGGGCGACGGAGCTACAATTACTGTGGTAAATCTCTCTTGTATGTTTACGTCGGTTACACTCCAAGTTTCACTAAGTTAACTCTGTCATCCATTGCCTCTGTAAACCTACGACTTTTTCACTCCGTAGATGGCGGATGAAAACACTCTCTCTCTCTCTCTCTCTCTCTCTCTCTCTCTCTCTCTCTCTCTTTTTAATCACTAATAGAATTTTACGCTTGGGAATATAGTCTTCGGAGAAACGCACAGACAGACAAATAGACAGACAGACAGATGATAGATTCCGAGAGAGAGACAGACATATAGGCAGAAGGAGCAGAGAGAGAGAGAGAGAGAGAGAGAGAGAGACCTTACACGTGCTACAGTCATTTGTAAACCGAAGCCGCACCTCAGCGTCACAACACTAAATCCCATTAAATTTGACCTTAACTTCAGACAACGATGACTAGTATTGTGTGGGGAGTGTGGGAGGTGTGGGGGAGTGTGGGGGAGTGTGGGGGAGAGTGTGGGGAGTGTGGGGGGCGTTGAGAGTGTGGGGGGAGTGTGGGAGGTGTGGGGGGAGGGGGGGAGTGTGGGAGGGTGTGGGGGAGTGTGGGGAGAGTGTGGGGAGTGTGGGGGAGCGTTGGGGAGTGTGGGGAGTGTGAAGAGATGTGGGGAGTGTGGGAGTGTGGGGGAGTGTGGGGGGTGTGGGGAGGTGTGGGAGGTGTGGGGGGTGTGAAGTGTGGGGAGTGTAGGGGGAGCGTTGGGGAGTGTGGGAAGTGTGGGAGTGTGTGAGAGTGTGGGAGTGTGGGAAGTGTGGGGGTGGGGAGTGTGGGAGAGTGTGGGGGAGTGTGGGAAGCGTTGGGGAGTGTGAGAGAGTGTGGGGGAGTGTTGGGGAGTGTGGGGAGTGTGGGAGGTGTGGGAGTGTGGAGGGGTGTGGGGGGAGTGTGGGGGAGTGTGGGGAGGAGAGTGAGGGAGTGGGAGGTGTTGGAGGTGTTGGAGAGTGTGGAGGAGGTATGGGGAGTGTGGGGGTGTGAGGCAGTGTGTGAGAGGTGTGGGGGCAGTGTGGGGTGTGAGGCAGTGTGGGGAGTGTGAGGCAGTGTGTGAGAGTGTGGGGGCAGTATGGGAGTGTGAGGCAGTGTGGCAGAGTGTGGAGGAGTGGGGCAGTGTGGAGGAGTGTGGGAGAGTGTGGAGGAGTGGGGGTGTGGAGGAGTGTGGGAGAGTGTGGAGGAGTATGGGGGAGTGTGGGGGAGTGTGAGGCAGTGTGTGAGGTGTGGGGCAGTATGGGAATGTGAGGCAGTGTGGCAGAGGTGTGGAGGGGTGGGGCAGTGTGGAGGAGTGTGGGAGGTGTGGAGGTGTGGGAGAGTGTGGAGGAGTGTGGGAGAGGTGTGGAGGAGTGTGGGAGAGTGTGGAGGAGTGGGGGAGTGTGAAGGAGTGTGGAAGGATGATCAGTGGTGTAGGAGAGTGACCAATAGTTTGGGCCAATAACCAAGTGAGCTAACCATTGTAAAGTTGACCCATCA